TCTACCCTTATGTGTAGATTAATATACCCTTTTGAATAACACCGTATAATAATCTACCCTCTACCGTATTACAATAAACCCTTTTCTGCAAGCGTAGTATAATCAATCCTGATTCGTAGACTAATATACCCATAGGGGCGACTTCGTATAGTAATCTACCTTCTACCGTATTATAATCAATGCTTCTTACGAAGCCATACAACAATCTACCCTTAGGCATATATTAATCTACCCTTTTGGATAACATCCAATAGTAATCTACCCTCAACCGCATTATAATAAACCCTTTTTGTGGAAGAGTAGTATGGTCAACCCTTATCCGTAGAATAATCTACCATATTGTATTCCATCGTGTAATAATATACCCTTTGCCGCATTATAATATATGCTTCTTCCGAATGGGTAGAATGATGTACCATAGATCGTCGAATAATATACCTTATAGCGATATCGTGCAGTGATCAACCCTTTAACGTATTATAATCAACACTTCTTCTGAAGCGTAGAATCATCCACCCTTAGCCGTATACTAAGAAACGGTTTCTTTCAATCGAGTAATAATCTACCCTTCATTGCTGAATTAGAAACGTTTGTGATAAATAAGTTTATTAATCTACCCATGGTCGTTTATTGATAAATCCCTTGATTTAAAATATGAAATAAAAAACCCTTAAAAGAGCTCCATATACCCTTCGTCTATTCAAATACCCTTCTGCTCAAAAACCCTTCGGGTCATGTACCCTTCAAGGGTATATGCCGTCCTCATAAACCCTTCAAGAGTTTATGAAGGAGAAAATCAAGGGCAAGGGTTGATTATTCTGCGCTTTTTTTTTTCAGTGTATAAAAGCAAAAACCAACAGTGTCACACGTTCACGACACTGACGATAAACAAAAGTACTTATCAAACAGACTGTTTAATTATAACGTACCTATAAGATGCATGTTCCATTTGATTCGTATGCTCAAAATTGAAAAGAAAGAATTTCTCATGAGGGGCATGACGGAAGATTCAGATGCGCAAAATGTTGCTTGTTCTGTAGAGATCTACTTTATGATAGGGCATCTTCTGTTGGAGATGCCAGGATGGACTTGATGTAGTTGTAATAATAGAATATTTGCCTAATAGATATCCTCGCAAATTGTGCAGCTCTTTTGAATAAAAAAAGACATATTACACGAATATTAAAGCGATCAACAAAGATTAATATTTAATACAAAATAAATCAAACATATGGAAATCTTGGTTGACGACACAGTACTGTAAAGGTAGCCTTTACCTTTCAAATACAAACAATAACACATTGTACACAATAGTTTGCACTACAATTATATCAGTTGAAATATTGGTCTATGTTGAATGATATGTTGGAAATTTGCAAACGAGGGTATAAAAGTTGCAAAGACAAACATCATACCCTATAGTTGCTGTCTTATGTTTTTTCTTTTAGATTTTTTTTACGATGTTAAATGTGGTTGGTTTTTACCAACAACGTCATTTACTCTATTATTATTCTTTTCAATTCTGCTGCTTGTGACGGACATGTTGATAATGTGAATGAAGCAACAATCAAAAAAACATTATTACTTGCCAAATATATTATTGTTAGTCCTGAATTTCCACATTTAAAAAACTCTATTATCGAGAAGAGTGCCAATTGCGTCTTTACGGCAATTAGCAAAGATATTGATAATAAATATGATTGAAAAGTATTATGGAATCGATTTCGAACAAGATACGATCCTGTTCTGTGTTTCTACATCGATTAGTACAACTATGTGCCGCAATTAGAAAAGAACACAAAGTTCCGATTTAAAAACGATGTTGTAAACTTTCTGCAAACCTGTTCTGAATTATTCGAAAAATGAATCAATATTTTTGTCTCAACAATTCTCAGCTTAATCGTTAGTATATTCAAAAGAAAAATATATATAAAATAGGTTTTAACAAAACATAAGGGCAATTTGTTCATGCATTTATTGTTAAACATTTCGCCTTTTTGTAAGTTTTTGTCTTGTGAAAAACTTCATTATATTTTGATTATAGAGTTTTTGTGTTCCTGTAATAATATGTCTATGTAAATAAATAGCGATTAGAACCGAATTGAAAGATTACATATTGAATTCATAAAGAAGTTTTTTCCAATAAATTACGAAAAAGATTAGTTCCCACACGCAGAGCCCTTCTCTGATGTAATGACACCCGCATCTATATATAATATTTTTAGTAAAATATTTGAAAATACAAGATAATTTTCTTAATGCTTTATTTCTTTTCTATTTATTTGCTTCTTCCAAAAAAACAATCTTCAGATATAATTTCGTCATACTCTTCCTGTATGCACATGTACATAACTAAAATTATATTTATAGTAAATGCATTTCAATAGAAAATATATCAAGAAACATCCTTTATTATAGCAAACATGTTTCTTGATATCTTTGCAAAAACATGAACCATAACGTCGATTACATGATACTGTTCGATTTCTTCGGAAAGTGCAATTACGACAAACAAGAAAGATCAACAGAAAAAAATACATTAACAACAAACGAGTTGCCATCAGTTTTTCTTCTTGCGTTCGTGTCTGTGCAGGGCAGTGAAAATGTGCAGATAGAATGTGTAAACAAACAACTGCTGAAGAAAAGTTAAATTGCATGTTTCTTTCTTTCAACGTAATTGCATCTTATACAAAGAACTTTTTTGTTTAGTATATTATATTTATTAATTTAAAATCATCTAATATCAATAGAATCTATGCCCGAAGTATGATTAAAAGCATCTGAGTGATATATAAATGAGAATGACTGTTTCAAAAACCTTCATTTCGAGAAAAGAAAACATGAAACAATATGAAATATTTTCTATCATCGATAAATTTGACTTCTGGCATTCAGCTCAGTCAAAACATTAAAATAAAACGTATCGTACTGTAGTAAAATTTAGTTCAAAAAACATGTTGAAAAATAAATCAATGATCGAGATTGGATCACTTTGATGCGGCTGAATCTTATCGAAAAAATAGTAATTCGATTTCCCACAACAAGAAAGATATTTAACATATCAAAGTGTAAACATACGATATGTTTTTTATTAGTGTGAATGTATACTGTTTGTGATTATATCGTATGACAAAAAAACTCTTAATTCATTTTTAGACAAAGAAAGTGTTTCGGATACATATTGATATGTACCCATACAATTTACTTTGTCTGATTTGGATATAGATATTCTCTTCATCCACACCACACCCTATTGTCCAGATTTAATGGTATGCGACATGAATCATATCCTTATGTAAAGAAAAGCAAGAAATAATTGTTTCTCATATGTTCACATTCTATTCAGCAGAGAACTAAAACAGCTTAATTTTTCATATAGATCAGTTGAATATATAAGCAAATAAATCAAGTATTTTCCATGAAAACATTCTATAACTTAATCTTTCTGAGGACATCAAACATAGCTAAATCTCGTTGTATACAGTACAAAATGCATTAGAAGGTTTTATACTATTAGGCAAAAGGTTGCTGATATCGACAAAATATGTAATATAAAATAGAATTTTATAAGAAAGTACAGACAATTTCGCTGATAATAAGTCTCTTCTTTTTGTAAACTTTGTCGTTTTTCAACCTTTAAGATTTTATTAATAAAATCTTGATCAAAATAGATTACAAATCATCCTAACAATAAGACGATCTAACTCACAATTTAGCGAATTTTATCGTAATGATAAAGTGAAGAAGACTTAAAATAATAACCATCTACATTAGTCGTACTAAAAATTAATTCATATTCTTTATTTTTATTTTATTTGACATTATTTATTAGTTTTGTTAATCCCCAGTAAGATTTTGTATCAAAGAAAGAATTTAAAACACAAAGCACTCAGTTGCTAAGAAAAAACAATAATAAAAAAAACTAAAAACAAACATTCATCAGCTATTATCCAATATGAAGAAAGAAAGAAAAAAGCTTTTATTTTTTCTTTTCTTTATAATTTTTCTGATGAATGATGATCATGAATAGTTTTTATTCTTGTATGATCATCATAAGAATTTTTCATATGTTGTTTAAGCATTTTTTCACTTTGATATTTAGAAAAAGCTTGTAATAATTTTGGACAATTTTGTTTTGCTGCTATATCAATAAACACTTTCATTTTTATCATTTAACCAAGATGCATCACCTCCATGTCTTTTATCAAAAAAAAAATTAAATTTTATTATTTTCTTATTTAATTTCTAATTAAAAAAATAAACTTACTTGAGACGAATTCTTAATGGTTCAGCACCATCAAGTCCTAGTAAACAACATTCATGTAATGCTGTATTACCTCGTCTACAAAACAAAACAAAATCAATATTTCTTAACATTTTGAATATCAATTTTTATCTGAACAAAAAAAGAAAAAGTACACAGTCAATCTTTGATTTCAATTGATATTAAAATCTCGATATGTATATATATATAGAACTTACGGTCCTTTTTTATCTAATTTAGCTTTTCCATCTATAATAAGTGTTTCTAAACATTCATAATATCCATTACGTATAGCCAATTGTAGAATCGTATAACCTTCTATATTTTTAATATTAACATCAGCTTTTTCTTTTATTAAACGTTGAACTTCTTTTAATATATCGATTTGATGTGATGATTTTTTATTATAATTATTATTTTTTTTCAAATAATCGAATTAATGCATGAGTTGACTATTAATTATAATAGATAATTTAGTAAGACAAAAATAAATTATAATAAAATATTTTATTCTTACACTCAATATTTTCTGTAATTTCTCTTGGATATTCATCTATGTAAAAAATAAAAGTTTTCTTTTTTTTTTGCAAAGAATACTGTTGCCTACTATCAGAATAAATTGTATTTGAATATGGTGAACTTCGTTCACTATTTATTGGATAATATTCATTTGTTTTATTAATAAAAAATGGTGATTGTGAAAGATTTTCTGGTTTACGAAATACTGTTTGTATAGTTACTTGATATTCATTTTCATGTACAGTTGCATGAATCATATTACCCATACGTGGTTCACCTAAAAAAAATAATTAAATAATATATAAACTTTTTTAATATTAATATATAAGATATATATAGAGAGAGAGAGAATTTATATTTTAAATAATAATTATTATTCATTTATACAAAATAAAAGTATTTGTTTTTTCTAAATATTAAAGATCTTTACCAATCAATGATTGAAAATCTGGTCGATTAACTGCATAAGTTTTTAAATGAGCACAAATATGATCTAATTGTTGTCGCCAATATCCTTTTCCTGGACTTGTAGATGTTAATATTGGACGATATTCTTTTAATTCTTTTTCATTTAATAATTTTTATTTTGTGTTATAATTAAATCAATATCTTTTGCACTTGGATAATAAATTCTATATGTTTGTGTTGCCGCTTCTTTTTTAATTGTTGAATATGATTGATGATAATTAGTCAATGTTGTATTTGCATTAAGCCATACAGGATTAACTGAATTACGTGTTAATGTCTATAGAAAATAAGAATCGTTTTATTTTTTTGTTTTATTTTTTTATTCTTTAATTTTAATATACACTAGCAATCATTGATGAAGATGAAATATTCAAATTGTTTTTAAGACGTGTATCAATAATACGTAATGGTGGTTCAAGAACACATCCACATGTTGAACAAAATTTTCCAAATGAATCATTATTAGTATGACATTTTGTACATTGTATTGATATAGATGCATGATCAGAACATGCACTACACCAATCACAAAAACGAGCATTAGGATTATTTAAACGAAAACATTTTGAACATGTTATCATCATTGTATTAGTTTGTTTTGATATTGTTGGAATTGAAATTGAAGTTCGTTTTTCCTATTGAAATATAAATACGGAAAAAATAAATAAGATTTTTTTTTTGTTTACTGGTGATGTCGATGTTGGTATTAATACATTTTCACAAATATAACATGTTCGTAAATGTATTGGATTTGTTGATTTACAATGAGGAAATAGAATTCTTGTCTAGAGAGGAACATTAAAATTTGATTAATTTTTGTGAAACCTGATTTTGAGAAGTTGGTCGCTGTTGTGGTTCTTTGGATACTGGTGTTTCACATACAACACATGTGTTAGAATTAAATGGAATAGTAGATTTACAATTTGTACATATATTA